GTTAAATACATTTTATAATATATCAAACGCAAAAATAATTGCAAACTTCAATCAATCGTTATAATATTTTGTAAGTTAGTTTATAAAAAAAAAAAAAAAAAGAAAAAATGAATGCATGTGTCAATTGGAATGATCAAAAAAAGGAATCGTCGAATTTTCTTAGATATTTTCTAAGAAATACGAAATTGGAACTAAGCCAAATTGCCAAAAGGTTTGACTATTAATATAAAATGAAAATGAGGTCACGATCTCGTAAAGTGCATTACCGGTATAGTCCCGTGTATCTATTAAAAAAAGAAAAAAAAACCGAAACCGAAAAGAAAGAATATTATCTCCATTAAAATCACTATCTATGTATAAATATATATAGCATATAAAAATAATTTCAATCGAAGAGGAGAGGAACACGAACGAACGCGAACGAAGAAATGAATTTATTTTTTTCCGAAAGTCAAGTATCATTGAGTTTATTCGTGTACCGTTTTAAAGAACCGTTAATCGCTCTAGTTTTAATGTTTCTTTTTTTTTTGAGTTTATAAATGACAAATCGAAATGTCAAAGTTTCGATATAGACACACACACATACACACATACGCACACATTCGAATACCCCTATAAATAATAATACAATAATACTTCAAAGTGTCTTTTTAAGATTGAAAGAAAAATCAGATTAACTTTAAAAGGGGGGGGGGCAAAAAGAAATGTTTGAAAAAGATTCGAACCTGTATACATAAACCGGTTGGACTTCTTACGGTAAAGGAAATCTTGACTTGGTAGAAACGTATCTATCAGTCCATCTTTTTAAGACGTTTATAGATAATTAAAGGATTTTAACGAAGATAAAAGGTTGTGAACGTGGAGAAAAAAAAACGGAACTCCGACCGATTCGATTATTTCAAACTGTTTCGTATGAAATTGTATTAATAAACGTTGAGTACGTATACGGGGTATACTATTTCAAACGGGATTGAAAAGTAAGATAAGATAAGAAAAAAACACACATACACGCGCACGTGCGCGATTACACAAACACACGAACAATTAACGTTTCAGAAATAAATATTAATTAAATGGGAAGAGAGAGGTTTTTTTAAAAGAAAAAGTATTTCGATTAGCAGCCAAGTTGATTGATCATTTTTCAACGATGACGTGATGACGTTCGAACGAATGAATAATAGTTTATAAAAAAAGAAACCCAAAAAAACAAACCATATGTAACATTCCCACGCGAAAATGAAACGAATTATATTAGAACGATGTGATTGTGTGGTGTACGAATGAAATTCATTTTCAATTACTCAGTATTTTCTCTCATTCATCAAATTATAATTCTTGATGATAAAGGTTCATAAGGAACTTGGACATGACAAGAAATAGAACTTAATTTAACTAAGTTGTTAAGTTAGTCCTTACCGTAAGAAGTCCAAGTTCCCTATGAACCTTTATCATCAAGAATTTTCAATTACTTTCATTTTTATAATACTCGATTGTACGGGACAGTGAATTTTTTGAAACGATTTACCGAAATCCTATCCTTTGTCAGATTTTTCGTATGTTTATGGGGTTTCCTTTTTAATTGATTTTACCTCCTCGAACATTCTATTTTCCTTTAAATGGCGTATCAAAGATGAGGGAACGTCGACCATTGTTACGGTCAAAGGAAGACCACCAAATTTATAAATCCGATTGAGGAAACTTCTCGCTGAATAAATATACAGATTAGATTATTGTTTGTCGTATTAATTAACAATAAATTATTGAATAAAAATGGTATAAATTATTCAAATAAGAATAATATACAAATTGGTAAAGAAAAATAGGGAAATGACAATGACCATCCTAATTGTTTTCTGTCGATTAAACGTAGGAAACATTGAATTTATATTTGTGATCGTACTCTCAACGTGTTTGTCTTAACGCCAAATAATTTATATATAAACACATTTGTTTAAATGAATAATTGATCTCTATTTGAAAAATAGAATATATATTGTTCGCTAATCGGAATGAAATAAGAACGCAAGATTCACATTTTCCGTTTAGGTTACCATGATCTTTTCTTAACAATTAATAACTTTTATCTCTACTTATCTCAAACGTTAATTATTTATAATATCATCTAAGAGAAGATATCTAAATGAAAGGATAGGATTAAGTATGAAACAAATACTTTGTATTTATGATCGAAATCACCATGTTCTTTTTATCATCAAATTACTTTT